GCAATGCCTTGGCTTCAATTTTATTGCTCTGCTGGAGGTTGACATGACATTGACCTTTGCAGTAATGTCCTCGGTGACAACGGTGGCAGTGGTGGTGTCCCTGTGCCCCACTCCCCTCAATTCACCTAGAGGAGAAAGCAACAACCCAAAAGGAAGAACCACTTGCCCTCAAAACCCCAATGTCCTCAGAAACACTCCAATATTCCCCCCAAAATTCCAAATTTCCCTCACAAAATCACAAATTATCCCATAAAATCCCCACAAATCCCCAGCAAATTCCAAACTGTTTCCAAAACGTCCAGTTTGCCCAAATTTCCGATTTGACCCAAAATTCTCAGTATTCTAACCAAGATTCCCGCTGTTCCCCCCCAAATTCCAAGTTTTACCCAACAAATCCCCAATCTTCCCCTAAATTCACAACAGCCTTCCCCCAATCACAAATTATCCCCCCAAAATTCCCACTTTTCCCCCCCTTACCCCTGAATTTAACCCCCAAATCCCCACTTCTCCCCAAAATTCTCAGTTTTCTCCACTAAAAGCCCAACTTACAACAAGCAGCCATTGTCCTTGTTTGGCTGGGGGGTGTCCACACCTGTCACCTGGAAGTCGTCCACCCGAAAGACCCAGCATCCCGGGACCTTGACGTTGGAGGTGGTGGTGATGTTGATGACTGCATCGGTTTGGGATCCGGGAATGTTGTAGAAGTTGGTGTCATCACCGCTATTGAATCCCGCCTGGAAAATTGGGGAGGAGTCCAGGAGGGCTGAACTCACCCAAAGGGGTGGTGGACCCCCAAAATGATGTTAGGATGTGAACATATTTGGTGTGGACCCCAGAAAACACATGGGCCTTTCACTATCATCATCATCATCTCCAGGAGAAGGGTGGACAACCTCCTATCTTCATCATCATCATCGTCATCATCATCATCATCATCATTACCACTATCATTATTCCTGTCTCCAGTAGGTGGGATGGGCCAACTTTTGACTTTCATCATCATTTCCAAAAGATTGGACTGGACAACCTGATCTTCCCAAAAAATGTTGTGGGCCAATCCTGGATCTTTATCATCCCCAGGAAATGGGATGGGCCAATCCCTGACCTTCATCATCATCATCCTCAGAAGATGGAGTGGGACATCCTCCTCCCCCTCCTCCTCCACCCTCCCCACCTACATGTGCTGGGGTCCCTCCGAGTCCCGTCTCAGTGTCCCCATCACTCGCCGCCCCCGTGGTCCATTGGATGTCCCCATAGTTGAGGATGACGTAGAACATCTTGGAGTCAGTGGTCAGCACAGCCTGGAAGGTGTTTCCCTACGGAAAAGGTCACAAAGGTCAAGGACAGGCCATGAAGGTCAAGGATGGGCTCTAAAGGTCAGCCATAGGTCAGTCACCAAGGCCACCAAGCAGTCACCAAGAGCCAAGGAGTGACCTCCATCCCCCATGGACATCACCTTTTCCGAGGTGGAGCCATAGTAGGCCACGTGGTCCCAGGTGGCCACCAAGGCCCAGGTGGCCATGAAGAGGCTTTTGGGGAAGTAGTGGCCGATGTCCTGGCTGATGGCCGCCAGCAGCGCCGGCTCGGTGCTCTGGCGGTAGAAGATGTCCCCACCCAGCACGTTGTCCGCGTCCGCCCAATAGGGCGCCACGAAAGGCTGCCCGTCTGTCATGGGGAGGGGCTCGGGGCTGTAATGTCTGAGGGGCTCATCGAAGGAGATCACCCCGTTGTTGTTCACCTGGAGTGACACCGGGAACGGGTGGGAACAGCACTGTGGGGATCTGAGATGGACCACGAGAGCACCCCGAGAACCACCACTCACTGAACTCACCAACGCCTTCCAGCCCCTCAGGAGCCACCACGCTCGGGACTCCCAAAGACCCACCAACCATAGGAAGGCTCACCCACAAGACACCCCAAAACCCAGTGAGACCCTCAAAACCCACCAACCTCCCAAGGARCCCCAAAACCCACTGAACCCCTCAAAACCCACCACCCTCTCAAGGCACCCCAAAACCCAGTGAGCCCCTCAAAACCCACCAGCCTCCCAAGACCCAGCTCCCACAGGA